CCAGTTTTGTGACCTGCTCTTCTGTCACATTCTCAAAACTTTTAAATAAGATTTTAATAAAATCTAATAAAATTTAATTGAAATTTTATAGTTATTAACATTTCTATTAAAATTATACCTGACATGAGAGATGAGTTAATTTCAGTTTCAGGATCTTTGTCTTTGTTGTATTCTATCAATATTAGGAACGAATTCTGGAAACTTGGTAAGTTTTCCTTATTCTCATCTTGAATTCTAAATCTCAGATACAAATCCAAGCCAGGTATTAATTGATGGAGGAAGGCAGATTGCTAACAAATTCAGAGAAATTAGGTTTCAAATTATCATGTAGCTTGCATTAATTAAAGAAAAAATTGCTGAGAAAGAGGCAATTTGCTTTTTAATCATGTTTCACTATCTCCAAAGAATTAGTTGAAACCAAAGCTTTAATAAATTGTAAGAATAACATGCTACATTTAGAGGGAGAAAAGACTATGTGCAACACCTAGATCACTAATCTTTTTTCCAGCAGTTTCTAAGTCATTTCATTAGAAATTGTTGCTTGCTGCAAGTTTAGACCTAAATATACTTATCCTTTAAAGGCTGTCAGGGTTGCTTCAAAATTTTTATGCTCTTTGCAGATATTCCTGGCTTGGAGTGACTGAGTGCATCCCTAGGCTATTTAATTAATACAATGTAGATTGCATTCTTCTTTAAAGGAAGTTGTAACACTTTAATTTGTTAATTTAATGGCCCAGTTCATTGTTGATTAAACTATCAGAAACCAAATTACTTTTATGTCACAACCAACTGATTGTTTTATTTCATTGATAGGCCTGAGATTCTGTAAATATGCCAATTTCTTCTTATGGTGAGCATCCTACTGCCTGTTCTGTACACACTTTATTGCACTTTTTATTCATTTAGCAAACGTTTGAGCATTTAATATATCCCAGTCACTGGGCCAGGTGCTTTCTCAGCAAATTTTAGTTTTTAAGGTCTCTTGTTAAATAACTTCTGGGATGTCTGGGATTTTTAAATCAGATCATTAACTACTTTTTTAAAAGGCATTATGTTAGAGGAAAAAGTATTTCTTTGAAGCTATTCAAAAAGTAGTGCCAAAACACTACTCATGTGTTACTAATGACCATGTATTTATTTGTGGAAGGGTGGCAAGATATATCTTACCCAAATGTGAGAACTCTTTGGGGAACGTTCAAAGCCAGATCTATTGGCTCTGATTAAAATAAGCAGAATAGGGACGCCTGGGTGGCTCAGTCGGTCAAGTGTCTGCCTTCGGCTCAGGTCATGATCCCAGGGTCCAGGGATCGAGTCCCGCATTGGGCTCCTTGTTAAGGGAGGAGCCTGCTTCTCCCTCTGCCTGCCACTCCTCTGCTTGTGTGCTCTCTCTCTCTCTCATTCTCTCTGACAAATAAATAAACCTTTAAATAAAATAAAATAAAATAAGCAGAATAAATGACTCCCTACCCCAAAAGGACTGGTGCTTCTCTTTTTATCTGCCCTTTAAAGTTCTAGAAAAAAAGTGTTCAAAGCTTGAATATTTTGTAACTATAGAACTGAAAGAGTGCTACAGGTCAGACCAGCCATGATTCATTCAGTGTAAGTCACAGAGTATTTTATAGAGAGAATATGGTTGTCCTTGAAAACAATAGCCTCAGAAGGCAAGGTGTTAAACCAGTTATGAACTAGTAACAATCTTGACTATAAGAATTACTTTTTATATGTAAAGGGATTTAGGAGGTAGAATTTTGCTGGTATTGATTTAGTGGCACAAAGATGGATGTTTTTGCATTCTTTCAGCTGAGATTTGCAATTTCCTGGGCTTTTGTTTGTTTGTTTGTTTGTTTAAGCCCAATGTGGGGCTTGAACTCATGACTCCAAGATCAAGAGTTAAATGCTCTACCACCTGAGCCAGCCAGGCGCCCCCTGGGCCTTTGATCTCTCAAGGTGGCTAACCATTATGTCTGTTTTCCAGGCAAAATGTAGGAGAGAAGGCTAAGGGCAAAAAGACTGACTAGGCAACTTCCAGATACATCTCTGGCCGCTTGTATCTGTGTAGGAGTCTGGGAATTGTAATTTTTCAGCCACACTCGTTGCGCAGAGTTCTATTAGTAAGGAAGAAGAAAGTGGGAATGGGATAAGGTAGGCAACTAGAAGTCTCTACTACAGGTATTATCCCACCAACCCCTGTCCACATAGGCACAAACCAAAACATGCCTCTTTCCCCGACAGCACACCTGGATTTATTATCCATTAATTGGTCTACAGCTTTCCGAAACTTACCTCTCTTTTCAGATTATACTGTCTCTCCTGAGTTTGTAGTGTTCGTGTAGGTCCCACAGTTTGAATTCTCTGGAAGCAGGATGGTGCAGTGGAAAGAGCACTGCACTTGGAATCAGGGAACCTGACCTGTAGTTCCAGTTCGTCACTGGTGTGTTGAGCTTTGACATCTGAGCTTCCTATTCTTCTTTTGGATAATGGAGATAAAATGTCTTCTCTGCCTGTTTTGTAGGCTTCTTAGATGATCAGATGAGCAGTTTTAATGTATATAAACGTACATGGCAAATAGTAAAGCATCATATGAAGAAATGCATTATTATGATGATGATGATGTTCAAAACCAAACTCTTCATCTTCCCACCAGAATGAGCTGCTGCTCCTAACTTTTTTTTATGTCAAGTCACAAAGTCTGGAAACCTCAATATCCCTTATGGCTGCATCTGCCTCCCACCCCACATCTTTGGTTGTAATAGTCTTTGATACTATTATCTTAGTATTTCTATATATCTACCATCTCTACCCTCCTTACTGCCCCCTCCCCACGTTGTTCAGGGCCCTACTGTAACACTTTTTACTTGGCTAGTACAGTAGCTCTCTGAGTCAATTCCAGTCTCTGCTTCTCCACACATTTCTCCATAGCCCTCATTTTTATTGCTAATGAATATAAGGTACCACGGGAAAAAATTTACATAACATTTAGTAATATTCAGTAAATATTTTTCTACTTTTAGACATTAGGCTGTTTATATTTTCAGTTTTTATATTATGGTAGTAGATATTTTATGTGTATATGTATACATATATAATATATATGAATATTCATATAGCTGATGATTACTTTGTTAAAAGCAAATTCCTATAACATGAGTTACTAGGTTAATGGGTGGTTATTTGAGACTTCTGCTTCATTTTTACAGTTGTTTGCCAAAGGATAGTACTAATTTATGTGCCACAAACAACAAAGTATTACCATGAATGTATTACAGCTTCTCACAGCCTAGCAAAACTTAAAAAATATATAATAAAAAATGCGGCTTGTCCCTTTTTCATGTACACGGAATCCAGGCACTCCAAGTCCAGGAAGGTTTGGTGGGTCGCGATCCAGGTAACCTTGTACTTAACATTTATAGGCGAATATGGTTCAAGTCCCCTAATGTGAATTTATCAAACATGTCAAAAGTGGAAAACAAGAACCTCAAGGAAGGATAGAAAATTTTATTCCTGGTCACATCCTGTTTCCCTTATAGGCTCCTTAGCACTTAAAGATAAGCTTGGGGCTTCATTTCGAGATACCCAAGGGTGTCTTCTCTCTTCCTCCCCCCACCTAGCCCCCAGCTCTTCTACTGCCTTTTCCCTCTGAGTGTCCACCCTTATCTCCTCACTTGGGAGCCCTGACTGTGTAGACAATGACAGACTGTCCTCACATGTCTTGCTTACTTTCATCAAGGGCTTAGGGAAGGATTCTGAGTATTTGCCCTTGTCTGAGCAAAGGGGCCAAATTGACTTAAATTTTCATTTTCTTTAAAAACAAGCCTTGCATTCAGACAAGTGCAAATTACTCAAATTCCTTGATGACTCCTTCCCCATCCCTCTTCCTTTTATCAGAAAGTTTATTTTATTTTTATTTTTTTAAAAATATTTATTTGAGAGAGAGAGTGAGCGAGCAGTGGGGAGGAGCAGAGGGAGAAAGAGAAGCAGACTCCACACTGAGCAGGGAGCCCGACATGGGGCTCGATCCCAGGACCCTGGGATCATGACCTGAGCAGAAGGCAGCCGCTTAACCAACTGAGCCACCCAGGTGCCCCAAAGCAGAAAGTTTAGAAGAAAGTTGGATGATGGAAGAATTTGGATTATTATATGAGCTTTTCTTAATTTTTTTGAATTAAGTGTAATTACAGAATGGATAATGAATTAGAGGGTTTAGCTGACTATTCTAGAGAATCAAATCTAGAGAATCATAAATATATGCTGATGATATATATATGTATCTATATATCAGGAGTGAGAGTATGAAGTATTTTTTGACTTTCCCAAAAAACTTTCCTTTTAAGATGTCTTTAAGGGGAAACTTACTTGTTCTTTTATTTAGCAAATACTTATCATTACATCCTATCCAAGATTTACTTATAGTCTATGATTCTGTGAAATTTATTGAAGTACTCAGTAAGTCACAGTATTTGTTTGTACATATCCCATATCCCTTATACTGTTTATGGATGCAATTGAAGTCAAGGATTAACACTGATACCCATCCTAGTACATCTTTTACCTTTTTAAATCGTGAATGAATCCCCCCCTCACCCCTTTGACTGATGTATGAATTCAGTAGTCTTTTTGGGTAAACACATGATATAGCAAGTAGAATTATACCTGACTCCAGCAACTCTAGTTCTAGAGTAGTTCCCATCAGCATTTCGTATACAACCCTCTATTTAGGAAATACAATTTTCAGAAAATTGTGTCTTTTAAAATTTAAATATAGTTGGAAAGCCTTTTTTAAAAACATTTTTTGACATGAAAATTGTAAATATTTTCCAACATATGAAAAAATCATTTAAGAATTACAGTTTTTGAGGTCAAATATTTATGTAAATAGTAATAAATGAAGTGTAAAATGTAGTATAATTGCATAGAAAGATTTATCATAATAGAAATGATATTAGCTATTTTTCCTTCATATTATATGAAATAACTTTATAGTTATCTATTTCTCTTCTTAGGTGAACACGTCAAACCTTTTACACCAGAGAAAGCAAAAGAAATTATAATGTCTTTACAACAACCTGCAATCTTCTGTAACATGGCTTTTGATTGGCCAGCACAACACTGGACTGTTAAACACCTTTCTGAGGTCCTTCATGGCAAGCAGATACGATTCAGGATGGGAATGAAAAGAACAGATACAGGTAGGACTACAAGTAATCATCATAATAATGTCTCTTTAGTAACATTCTCACATTCTTAGCAGTGGTTTCTTTATCTCTAGAGAATCCTTTATTTCTAATCCTGTTTTTGACCATTTGCAGATAGGAAAGTTTTATTGGAAGTTTTAGAAGGACAATTTGTGTTAAGATTTTTTTTTTTTAGGGGCGTCTGGGTGGCTCAGTCGTTAAGCGTCTGCCTTCGGCTCAGGTCGTGATCCCAGGCTCCTGGGATCGAGCCCCGCATCGGGCTCCCTGCTCGGCGGGAAGCCCGCTTCTCCCTCTCCCACTCCCCCTGCTTGTGTTCCCTCTCTCGCTGTGTCTCTCTCTGTCAAATAAATAAAATAAAAATCTTCAAAAAAAAAAAAAAAATTTTTTTTTAGACTAAACCTGTAGTTGATAACATTATACAGTTGATAACCTTATAAGTTGTATTTGTTCATGTATCATGGACCACAGATACTTAATATTTGTTAATGTGTTATTATTTATGTTCCCCTGTGACTGAGAAGATGATTACTAAGCTTATGGTCCGTTTTACTTTTGACTCATGTAGAATGTGTCCTTTTATTTGTGGCTTCAGGCACTATATTTATAGTGCTTACTCTTGGTTGTAATTTTCTCTCTCTGTTCTATTCAGCTGCCTGACCTCTACAGTACTGCATAAATATGAAAAGTATGTAAAGCTGTCTTTTTTTCATCCTCTTAAGCAATTAGATTTTGCCAGCTTCTTCTTCTTCCCTGGAGACTTGTAACATTTTGATATTTTGCCTTATAGTCAGATAACACAGTTACTGTTAACTCTAAAAATAGTTAATTTAAAGGAAAGAAACAGCGCTGTTTTTAATCTAAAGGAGTCCATAACGATTGTCTGGCTTTAGAATGTGTATAACTTCTATTTTGTAGTTTGGTGTCTAGAGTTTGGTAGTCTAATGTTTGCAGCATTGCTGTGAAGTGGCTCTATGAATATCTAATAACTCAGAAGGAACTAGAAAATTACCCAGTTTCCCTTCTAGCTTCTCTAAACTTCGTTTTCTTGTGTTGACCTTCTCGTACATCTCTCAAGAATTACTTGGTTTTTGGTGTCTAGAACCCCCTTGTATTCATGGCAGGTAGAGCAGGATTAATACCTAAAACTCTTTGGCATCTCATTCTAATCCCAGACCAAAATGTTTACTGTATTTTAAAATTAAACGCTAGACCAGCAAAAGGCACATAAAAATTTAGCTTGTGCTTTTTCTTTCTTGATTTTAGTCAAATAAATCTCCCATCCACTGAGGTGTCTGTTAGACAGTAATTTGGAGATAAATAGGAACTGTAATTTTTTTCTCATACCTGATTAGGCTCCAAATACAATACGACCACTAATTGCTAACAGTTATTGAGAGCTATTGTGTCAGGCACTCTTCTGAGTGCTTTATACATTTTAATTCTCTTAATCTTCTTCAAACCCTCTTAGAATGGTACTATTATAAGCCTATTTTGTAGATGAGGCACAGTGATTTGACATTTTCAAGCTAATACTTAAGCATAAATGAAAAAGAAAGTAGAAGGTCTCTGCAGTTGTGAGCAACTGCTCTGTTTTTACTAAAGATAATTTTTAAAAAAATTTAGATACAATTCACATAAAATTTATCATTTTAAAGTATACAATTAAGTGGTTTTAGCATATGCACGATGTTGTGCAACCATCATCACTGTCTAATTCCAGAACATTTCATCACTCAATAAGGAAGCCCAGTACCCTTTAAGCAATCACTCTCCATTCCACTTTACCCCCAGCCCCTGGCAACCACTAGTCTGCTTTCTCTTTTTATAGATTTGCCTATTTGGGACATTTCATATAAATGGAATCATTCAATACATGGCCTTTTGTGTCTAGCTTCTTTCATGAGCATGTTTTCAAGATTCATCCAGGTTGTAATATATACCACGTTTTGTTTATCCATTCATCAGTTGATGGACATTTGGGTTGTTTCCACTTTTTGGCTATTATGAATAATGCTACGATGAACATTTATGTACAGGTTTTTATGCGGATATATGTTTTCATTGCTCTTGGGCTTATACCTAGAAGGGGAATTGCTGAGTCATGGTAACTCTGTTTAACCTTTTGAGGAACTGCCAAAAGGTTTTCTAAAGCAGCTGAAACATTTTACGTTCCCACCCCACTGTATGAGGGTTTTAATTTCTCTACATCTTTGTCAATACTTACCCTATTTTTTATTCCAGCCATCCTAGTGGGTGTGAAGTGTTATCTCATTATGGTTTTGGTATGCATTTCCCTAATGACTAATGATGTTGAGCATCTTTTCACGTGTTTATTGACCATTTGTATATCTTTTTGGAAAAATGTCTATTCAAGTCCTTTGCCCATTTTCTAAGATTTTACTTATTTTTGCGCACGAGAGAGAGAGAGAGAGAGAAAGCGTGCATGCACGCATGCACAAGTGGAGGTTGGGGGGGTGGGGAAGGAGCAGAGGGAGAAGCAGACACCCCACTGAGCAGAGAGCCCCATGCAGGACTCCATCCCAGGACCCTGGGATCATGACCTGAGCCGAAAGCAGAAGCTTAACCAACTGAGCCACCCAGGCGTCCCTCCCATTTTCTAATTGAGGTGTTTTTTGGTTTGGGGCTGGGAGGTTTGGTCTTTCTGTTGTTGAGTTTGAAAGAGATCTTTACAGGTCTTCCTCAACTTATGATGGGATTAAGTCCTGATAAACCCATCATAAATTGAAAATATCTCAAGTCAAAACTGCATTTAATACACCTAACTGAACACATGGGTGGCTCAGTTGGTTAAGTGTCTGTCTTGGGCTCAGGTCATGATCCCAGAGTCCTGGGATCGAGCCAGCGTTGGGCTCCTTACTCAGCGGGGAGTCTCCTTCTCCCTCTGCCCCTCCCCCTGCTCATGCTGTCTCTCTTTCTCTCTCTAATAAATAAATAAAATCTAAAAAAAAAAAATACACCTAACTTACCAAACATCATAGCTTAGCCTAGCTTACCTTACATATGCTCAGAACACTTACTAGCTTACAGATGAGCAAAATCATCTAACACAAAGCCTTTTTTTTTTTTAAGATTTTATTTATTTATTTGACACAGAGGGAGATAGTGAGAGAGGGAACACAAGCAGGGGGAGTGGGAGAGGGAGAAGCAGGCTTCCGGTTGAGGAGGGAGCCTGATGCGGGGCTAACTCTGGAATCAGCTTGCATGGGTTCAGATTCTGGTTTACCATGTGACTTTAGGCAAGTTACTTAACTTCTCTGTATCTTACAAATGTTTTCAAGATTAAGTGTGTTTGTATGCATAAAACATGTAGAACAGTGCTTAGCACATAGTAAATGCTCAACAAATGTTATTTAAAAATAGAAATAATTAAAAAATAAAAGTATGACTTCCTCATTGTAGAGAACATTGAAAAAAGAGGAAGATCCAAAGAAATTTAAAAACACTTTGTCCAAGAGAGAACCACTAGTTACACTCTGATCACTGTTTATGCAGGACTTTTTGTATTTTAAAAATAAAGTTGTATTAATTTTCACGGCCTGCTTTTTTTTTTTTTCACATCACATGTCCTGAGCAGTTTCTCTTGATGCTAAATGTGACTTTTAAATGGCTAACACTGTGTTGTATGCTAGTATCATGATGAATTTAAAATTTTTTCCTTTTGATTATTTAGATTGCTTAGAAGCTTCAAATTTATAAATAAGACTATAGTGAGCATCTTTGAAAACAAATCTTGCTCAAGTTTCTGATTATTTCCCTAGGATAGATTCCTAGAAGGAGAATGACTGGGTCAAAGGGTGTGAATGTTATCACGAGTTGCAGCACTATGCATGAACCTTCTTACACCAGAAACCTGAGTCATCTGATTTCCCCTCTAAGTGGTGTCTGGTGACCCTGTGACTTACACCCTAAATATGTAGCATATCTACCTGCTTCTCTCATTCCCCATGGCCATCTTCTAGGCGGGGTTACCCTACTCTCTCTCACCAACATAGTTGTAGTAGTCTCGTCCCTGGTCCCTCTGCACCCCCTGCCCTCCCCATCCAGGCCATTTGTCATATTGAAACCAGAGACAGTTTTTAAAAAAAAACAAATCTCATCCTGTTTTTCTTTTTAAAACCCTTAAGTGTCTTCCATAACCCTTACGCTAAGGGCCAAAATTTTTGTGTGGTGTAGAAATCCCTGTTTGCCTCATCAGCTTAATCCCTCTCCCTGAGCTTTGGCCAAACAAACATTTTTTTTTCCAGCTTTTGTATTTCCAGAGGTTTGCTTCTCCTTTCTTCAAGGCCTTTGCATACAGAGTCCAGCCTTTCTTTTCTCCTTTCCCATTTTCCCTTACTGCAGCTTTCCCTGGTTAACTCCTCTTCTTCCTTCAGATCTTAGCTCAAATATCATTTTCTCATCTAAGTCTTTCCTGATCACAGCGCCGCTGCCTCCCAAATCAGGGGCAGCTACTCGTTGTACCAGAGCACCTTGTATTTCCCAGTAGCACTTAGCTCAGTTAGAATCACGTGGTTAGTCTGTAAGTAATTAACTCTTTAAAGTCTCTCCTCCCCTCAAGAAGGCCTCCTTCGCGAGGGCCTGGGTCAGGCCTCACCATGGGCTGAACACCAAGTGGACACTCAGGTATTTGTGGAGTAAAAGAATGAAAGGCCTTTGGTACATAAGGCAAAGTGCTTCACAGAAAGGTGGTTTCCATTTACTCTCCTGTCAAAACATGCGAGGGTGCCTGTTTTGCCACTCCTTTGCCCAAACTGAGATTTATCTTTAAAAAAAAAAATTGGACTGATATTTTTATGTAGTCCAATCTCATTAACATTTTATTCTTATTTTATTTACTTAGAAATTCTTTCTGTATCTTAAAAATAGGTAAATATTCTAATATTTTCTCCTAATAGCTTATTTCCCTTTTACATTTTACTCTTCATCCTTTCCTTATTTATTTTGATGTATGGTGTTTGCTGACTTTTTTAGTTAAGTTGGAAATAACAGTACCTTTTATTTCAGTATCATTTACTGAATAATCCTATTTACCCCTACTGACTTTAAAATCATCTTTATTATATTACTGTATTCTTATAAATTCCAGCATCTGTTTTTGGACCATGTATTGCGCTATCAGTTTTGAAGCCAGTAAAACATTTCTTAAATGCTATTTTAGCAACTGATATATATTATAATATTTGAAAGAACAATTCATCCTCCCTAATTACTCTTCTTTCTCAGTATTTTCTTAGATGTTATTGAATTTTATTCCTCTAAGTGAATTTTAGAGTTAAATAATGTACTCATATTAAACAAATCCTGTTGGGATTTTAAGTGAAAATTCATTAAGTGTTGTAAGTTAATTCAGAAAGAATCTACCTTGTGATAATACTGTTATCTTACTACACAAGAACATGTCATTATCACTTAGCAAGTCCATTTCATCTCTCAGTGAAAAGATTGGGGTTTTCATACAGGTCTACAAATTTTTAAAAATATTATAAATATAAACTTTTTATAGCTGGTATGAAGGAAAATATTTTTACCTATTATATTTTTCTAGCTAGTTGTGATGAGTAGATTTTTAAAAGCCATTTATTTTTGTATGTTTATTTTTTTATCCAGCTATTTATTAGTGTATGTAGTTTTTTAGTTTATTCTTGTGGGTTTTCTAGGAAGACAGGCACCTGATCTTATAATCAGTGATAACTTTGTTTCCTTCCTATTGAATGTATTTCTTATTTTTGTTTTAGGTCTTGGTTTGAGTTTTTCTAGAATGCTTGAGACAACAGTATTAGTAATTATACTATTTGAATTATATGTATCTCTTAGTTTATTTTCGGAAGCAGATAATAACATCTCATAGCTCTTTGAAACTATTCTGGATCAAATTCATTTGGATCATATGGGCCCAGTGGCAATACGATACCTCAACTGGCAGTAATTTGGGAAAAACAGTTGTAGAAATAACCCTAAGCATTTGTAGATGGGGGTGCAATGATGGTCAAAAGTACCCACATTCCATGCAGTGTTTTTGCTTGTAAAATGATGAAGTCTAGGGGCGCCTGGGTGGCTCATTCGGTTAAGTGGCTGTCTTTGGCTCAGGTCATGATCCTGGATCCCTGGGATGGAGCCTCAGTGTTGGGCTCCCTGCTCAGCTGGGAGCCTGTTTCTCCCTCTCTCTCTGCCCCTCCCCCTGCTTGTGCTTGCTCTCCCTCTCTCTCTCTGTTAAATAAATAAATAAAAGCTTTAAAAAGAAATGATGAAATCTAACAAAATGGAGAAATATTTGTTTCCCTACTCTGCAAAACATATTTTAGGACTCCCTTTTATGAGGGTTGAGGCAAACTCAACTGACACACTACTTCCAAATCCTGAGCCCAGTTGAGCTTCTTCTTACCTAACACTTTGACAGTAAGTGGGATGAAAATTGCAGCTGCCTAGGCTACTTCAATGTTAAATGAAAGAACAATAATAATAAAGTTAGAAAGGAATAATTGCATTGCAGGAAATAAACTAAGAAAACCAACTGTACTACCCAGAAAGAACTTGTCATGATAACAGAATGAAAACAGTACCTTTGGTGCTGCTACTTCCAGGAAGGAAAAATTCAAAAGATTCTATTTTGAAATCACTATGTAAATGTAAAAAAGTCTGTCATTTCCATTCATTCTGTTCATTGTAATTTTCTCCTGACAGTAACAGTTGTCACGTGTAATTTTTGCCCTTTTAGATTTTAATTTTTTAAAGTACAGAACTTGCTGTGACAGAGAACAAAGTCCCTTGATAAGGCTGCAGTGCAGACATGCCTGTGAAAACCGGCCTACTATTGTACCCCTCAGGGACAAGTATCTCAAGTAATGGCTTTAGTATTCAGTTCGATCAGTTGGACTGAATTTTATGAAGTGAAAACTCATAAGACAGTGTAATGACTTCAGGCTTCCGTTGGAGCTTACTGAAATGACTATAAAATGACTCCCTATTTCCCAGAACCATGCAGCTTTCTTGCCACATGGGTTTTTGTTTGTTAAAAAACTCTGTGTATTCCTATGTTGTTGGGGTACATTCTTTTTTTTTTTTTTAAGATTTTATTTATTTGAGAGAGAACAAGCAGAGGGAGAGGGAGAAGCAGGCTCCCTGCCAGGCAGAGAGCTGGACTCGGGGCTCGATCCCAGGACCCTGGGATCATGACCTGAGCCGAAGGCAGACGCTGAACCAACTGAGCCACCCAGGTGCCCCTGTTGTTGGGGTAAATTCTTAATGATGATGTTGTTAATATTAAGAACATATATATATATTGATGGGTTACAGTGGCAGGCACTGTTCTGAGTGCTTCTCAAAAATTGTCGAATTAAATTGTCGAATTTAAATAGTTCTTAATATTGCAGATTTTTACCTTTTAGATAAATGCACTCCTGTAAAGTCTTCCTGCTTCTCAAGGTCAGATGACAGGTTGATGAAGTAGATGAATTAGGATGACTCTTTGACATACACCCTCCCCTCTGTTACTTCTCCACCATTCTGAAGTTATAGGAAAAAGAGAGGAGGGGGGAAGGAAGGTCAAGATAATCCTAGGCAGTTCAGGCAGAAATGGAGGGAAAAGATAAAAGCTGTTGAAAGAAGAGTTTGAATACACTTCTCCTCTTACTACTAATTTGGCTAACTTTTGAAGTTAATATAAGAATCCGAATTAGTTCCTGTTACTGAGCATCTGCTATGTTTCAGGTATTGTGCTAACTGATTTACATGCAGGAGATCTGTATCACTTAAAAGGATTTCATGCTGATTATAATCAGATTTCTTGAATATTAACTTCCCAGTGTGCATTGAAAATATTCTGCTTGTTACCAGAAAAATTTCATTTTATCACTATTTGGAAGAATAGTTCTTATATGAATGAGTCATCCCCATAATAACAAACCCTTCTGGACAGACAATAGACTTCTCTCTAAGCTTTCCTGATCAACCCTCTTCTCTGGGTCTTTGCCTTTTCCTATGTGTCTGTGGCACAAAATTTTGCATTTAATTAGGTAATGCCTCAAATTTCCTATTATTCTGGCTAAAGCTTTGTCTTTGTCTAAGTATGTTCTCAATTCAAGAGTATTACTTCTCTCTTTTATGTTCCCACAAGCCTGAGTACAGTGTTAGTTACAAATTAGGTACTTAATAAACGATTCTGAAATAAATGAGTTAATGAATAAATGAACAGACTTTAAGTTGCCATTGGCCACTTAATGATTCTGAGGAGCTATGTATGATATATGTGCAATATAAAGTCAGAAAATTTTCAAAAGATGTCATTGCTTTTTTTCCTTTTTAATCTGAAGAAGTAGCTCTCAAATTTTTGGTCTCAGGATCCCTTTGCACTTAAAAATTATTGAGTTCCCCAGTACAGAGAAGATTAGCATGACCCCTTCACAAGGATGACATGCAACTTCATGAAGCATTCCATATTTTCTGTGATATTTGGAAACTCAATAAATGCTGTACCTGGGGCACGTGGGTGGCTCAGTCGTTAAGCGTCTGCCTCCGGCTCAGGTAATGATCCCAGGGTCCTGGGATCGAG